AAAAAAAAAAAAAAAACAATGCTAGTGTTAGTCTGCATCATGAGATTTGTGATTTGAAAAGAAGCTGGGAAAAGGAGGGAATGTGAGAGAGGAGGAGAAGGAGGGGGGGGAGAGGAGGTAGGGGGAAGGGAATGGAGAAAAGAGGAGAATAGGGGGAAAGGAAGAAGGCAGGGGAGGGGGGTGGAGGAGGAGGTGTAATAGGTAAGGAGGAATAGGAAGAAGAAGAGGTAGGAATGTAGGAAATAGGAGGGAATGCGGAGATGAGGAGGAGGGGGATGAGAAGGAAGGTAAGGGGAAGGGAAAGAGGGGAATAGGGAATGGAGGAGGGGTGTAAGAGGTAGGAGGAATAGGAAGAAGAAACAAGGAAGGAAGGAAAAGAAAGAAGAAGAAGAGGAGAATCCAGGAAAAGGAGGTAAATGAGAGAGAAGGGGAAGAGGGAGGAAAGAAGAGAACGGAGAGCAAAGGAGAAGGAATAGAGAAGAGAAGGAGGATTGAGAGAGATAGATAGGGACGTGAACAGATAAACAGATGTATCGAAAGGTAGATCTGGATAAACAGATAGACAGACAGAGAGAGAGGGAAGAGTGTGCAATAGATTATTATAACAGAGAAAGAGAAATATAAAAGATAGATAGGGAAATAGATAGAGGCCATAATTTAGATAAAAAACGACATGGAAAGATATAAATAGATAGAGATAGATATAGGAAGAAAGAGATCTTGTATGCAGTATTTGGCGCTGACGAGGTTGTTTGAGGGCAGTTTCGTACTTATACATGTTGCACGTGGCTTACAACAGTCTCTCACGGAGCTGTATATACATGTACATGTTGCACGTGCTCTGAGAGTCTCGTACGGCAAAGCACGTGGCAGTTACCGAACGGAGCTCTATTATGATATATTTATATGATGTATGAGACAAATAAAATAACCTCATAAGGTCCTAAAAAATATGCCAGAAGGAACCGAATGAGTAATAAAACAAAAATATTCAAAATAACATAAAAAACAATAACATCCAAGACAACGATGGGAGAGAAAAAGGGATTATAGATTATAAAAAAAGAATAATCCCATAGACTAAAGGAACATATTGAACAGTAACAAACTAATCAGAACAAAGGATAGACAGAAAAAGAAACAAACGAATAAAGAACAGAAGTGGAAAGAAACAAAAAACAAAAAGGGGAGCACATGGCAATCTCAACCCGCGAGGTGCAGAGCCGGCGACGAAAGAAAAAAAAAAAAAAAAAAAAAAAAAATAAAAAAAAAACAACAAAAAACTACGAGAAAAACCGCAGTCAATAATACGGTGGTCGATAAAACATAATGAGTAAACATCCTCAAAGACTTACTACAAATAAAAAGAAGAAAAAACTTGTAACCGAGTCGACGAAAACCCTTCCTCTGCCACCGCGGATTGAAAAAGAATGACGAGGCGCGTAGACAGAGGCTGCGGCGGGAGGGGGGGTTGGTAGGGGGGGGGGGTACTTGGCGAATTATTGGAACGCGGATTTTTGAAAATTTTGTTTTCGGCTGACTCACTGGTTGCCCAGCCGTTGGGACGCCTTGGGCTACCTACCTATGGGAACCGCAGCTGAGTGAGACGAAAATAAATATATTCAATCATTCAAATGAAGGAATACAACAACACACAACACACACACACACACAACACCACACAACAACACACACACACACACACACAAACACACACACACACACATATATATATATATATATATATATATATATATATATATATATATATTATATATATATATCAATTGACCAGATTCCCTTCCTGACGCAGCCCTCTCTATTTAACCGGGAGATCGTGACCAGCTCTGACCTGGGCTGGCTCGCCCTCAGTGGCTAGATTAGTGATTAGGATACAATATGAAGCATAATAAAATGAAACAAATAACTAATTAATTAATTAGATTAGTGATTAGGATACAATATGAAGCATAATAAAATGAAAGGAAGAACTAATCTCCAATTGGTCGATAGTGTGTGCTTGCGTGTGTGCGTATGTCTTACATTTCATAACCAACAGCGGGATTTAAATATTTGCAGGTCGTTTCTACGCGCCATTGCTTAGTTGACTGAATCATCTGAAAAAGTTTGTAATTTAAAGTTAAGAAATGAAAAGAAAATACATGGAAAGGATGAAAGAGATATTCCACTCTGTAAAAATGCTGTAAAAAACTCCACTGTAAAGATATTCCACTCTGTAAACATGCTGTAAAAAAAAAAAAAAAAAAAAAAAAAAAAAAAAAAAAAAAAAACATAGATGCAAGCCGGTTCGCATAATAAACCCGGTAACATCCGGCTCACTGAATTTGTGCTTTACCTCGAGGGCGCGCGGAAACGGATGAAATCTCTTGGTTGTTATGAAAAGTCAACGTTTTGACATCCTAAGGTGCACGTGACAACATTCCGACCGAAATGGCTGATTCTATGAGGCAATAATCCTCACTATCTCATAAGATATATAAGATATATCTTATGAGGGTAGAAGAGGGGAGGGGAGGGTTGAAGAGGGGAGAGGGAGGGGAGGATAGAGAAGGGAGGGAAGGAGAGAGGGGACGTAAAAGAGGGAGGGAGGGAGGAGAGGAGGTAGAAAGGGGAAAAGGGAGGGGAAGGGTAAGAAGAGAGGAGGGAAGGGAGGGTAGAAGAGGGGAGGGGAAGAGGAGGGGAGGGAAGGGGACAGAAAGGGAGGGGTGGCAAGGGGAGGGACAGAAGGACAGTGTTCATTGCCACAAAAAAAAAGAGAAAAGCAAGAAAGAAAAGGAATAGGTGCCAGAGGTGGTTGACGGTTTTGATTAAATCTTCGTCGGAAACACATGTTCTTGGCAGACTAGGGTGGAGAAGAGAGGGGAGGGAAGGGAGGAGTGTTTGAAGGGAGGTGGAGAGGAGGAAGAGAGAGAGACGGGGGGCGGGGAGGGAGAGGGAGGAAAGGGAGAAGAGAGAGGGGAGAGAGGAAGAGAAGAAGAGAGGAGGACAGAAGAGAGAGAGAGAGGGGGGCGGGAGGGAGAGGGGGGAGAGGAGGAAAGGGGAGAGAGAGAGGGAGAGGGAGAGAGAGGAGGGAAGAGAGAGAGGGAGAGGGAGAAAGGGAGAGGGAAGAGAAAAAAGGGAGGAGAGACGGAGGGAAGGCGTTGGTGTGGGAAGAGGCTGAAGGAAAGGGGGTAGGGAGAGGGAGGGAGGGGGGTAGTTATCTTCCTTACCGTTAGCTTCCTTCCTTCTCATCTGCACGTCTATCTGTCTATATGTCTGTTATCAATCTATCTGTTTAGCTATTTGTCTGTCAATCTGCCTATCTTGCCCTTCCTCTGTCTATCCATCTGTCTATCTCGTTCTCTCTCATTCGTTCCTTCCTTCTCTTGTGATTTTGTTTTTCATTTCCTTGTATATTAATCTTCTATTATGTATCTATATGTATAGGTATATCTGTATCTATATGTATAGGTATATCTGTATCTAATGTATGCTATATCTGTATCTATATGTATTGGAAATATCTGTATCTGTATGTATAGGTATATCTGATCTATATGTATTGGAATATCTGTATCTATATGTATAATCTATATCTGTAATATATATGTATCTATCTATTATCTATTTACCTATATTTATCAAAATCTTTATCTGCGCATAAGGATAGATAAAGGCAAATAGATTAAAAGGAAGTAGCGGAGGGTCTGAGCGGGCGAGTGTGTGTCCTTAGAGTTGTTTTTGTTTATGTTTCACAACGTGAGAAACAGCTGATCGTGCAATTAACATATTACTGCTTAGCCTCGTGCGAGTTCTGTTGCAATATTCGACGTCTTCTGTTTTTATACTATTCGTCAACATTCCTATTCTGATAACTATTTTTTTTCATTCTTCTCGGCGTGCCCTACCTTTTAAATATATATTTTTTGTTTTTATTTCTATTCTTAAGGTACAATGACTGTTTCTTTCCTAACTTTATGATTACTAAGACTTATGTGGAAAAAAAATGTCACCCCTTCTTCTCTTTTCCAGCGCTTTCTATTTATATTCTTTTATTAATTTACATTATTCGTATTTTTACATTATTCGTATTTTTACTCATTTATATTCTTCGTAGTTCAAATCCCGTCAAGATGGCGCCAAAATACTCGTTGCAATAAATGTTCCTTTTCTTAACCCCAACTTCATGCGTGTGTGTTCTTGCGCGATTGTGTGTTCATGAGTATGTAGTGTTTTGAGAGCGTGTGTCTGTGCACTCATTTTTTTAGATCAAGAAAGTCATCAGTAAACACGGGTATAATAAGAAAACCCAATGCGTGCCTAATGTTCGTGAGGGGCGGGGCCTAACTTGCGACTCACACGTCATGATCTCACGCGTAAAGTGGCGCCGCCGATGTGCGTTTTTGTAATTCAAAACACAGAGCCGGTCTATGCGCACGGACCTCTGAATCCTTAGTCCAAACCGGCAAAACAGATGAGCGCAAAAGAATCGAAACCTTTAAAATTGCAGGAATGGGTTACAGAAAGCGGCTACCGGACGAAAAAATGATAAATGCACAAAATAAGTGAATATACACGAACTAAATCTCTAGATTAAAGAGAGAGGGAGAGAGAAAGAGACAAGAGACAAAGTCAAATACAGAGACCGAGAAAGACAGAGCGGTAAGCTTTCCTATGTTTATGCAGCGTCAGACTATGTTATGTTAAAGAAAATGCAATTTTGCATTCATGAGGCTGATATGATATCGACACGTTGCATACGTTGGCAGGTTTTGAAGAGAGCGATGTGGTTTCTTGACGCAAGAACTGTACCACGTGATCTGTTACTATCTCCTTTCTCTCTCTCTCTCTCTCTCTCTCTCTCTCTCTCTCTTCTCTTTCTCTCTTCTCTTTCTTTCTTCTTTCTTCTTTCCTTCCTCTTCTCTCTCTTCTCTCTCTCCTCTCTCTCTCTCTCTCTCTTTCTCTCTTTCTCTCTTCTCTCCTCTCTCGTCTTCCTCTTCTCTCTCTCTCTTCCCTCCTCTCTTCTCTCTCCTCTCTCTCCTCTCTCTTCTCTCTCTGTCCTCTCTCGATCTATTATCTATCTATCTATCTCCCTCCTTCTTCTCCTCTTTCCTTCTCTCCTCTCTATCTATTCATGAATAACAAATCATATATATACTACATACTTCTCTACATATATATATATTATATATATATATATCTATATATATATTATATATTATATATATATAATATCTCCTATCTATATATATATATATATATATATTATATTAATATATATATATATATAATCTATATATCTCTATATATATATATATATATATATTATATTCATTCTTCTCTATATATATATTATATATATGCTATCTAATATATATATATATATATATATATCTATATTATATAATAAACAAATTACATATATACATACATACTTATATACATATATATACATATATATATATAAATATATATAAATATATATATTATATATATATACATATATATAGTAATATGTATACATATATATTACATATATATATATATATAATATTATACATATATATATATATATATATATATTATATATATATATATATATATATAATATATATATATATATGAATTCCAATTCTCGGTTGAGCCCGAACTCAACCAGACACGTTAGATGTACTGGGTCTTGCGCCTCACTACGAACAATAATGATAATAAATAGTTATGATAATTACTAATTTTGTTATTATCATAATAGGACCCGAATGGATAACTAATAGAGGAGGTGCCGTTTTACGGCCTTTTAGTGGTGTCCAGTCACCACCCCTTAGCTTTTTTTTTTTGGCTTTTGCTTTTTTTACTGGCAACCAATTGTAGTTGCTGTAGGTCAACTAACGGGGGCAGAGTTGGACTCTGCGATGTCCGTGTTTGTGTGTTTTGTGTTGTAGTGCGTGGTGTGTCTTTGTGTGTCGTGTGCGTGTTGTTGTATGAGTGTGTGTGGTATGGTTTGGTGGTTAGATTTCGTATGTGTGTGCGAGTTGTGTACGAGTGCCAGCGCTTGCGTGCGTGTATGTGTGTTTTAACGAGTGTGCTTTTTGCGTGTGTGTGGGCCGAGTGGTGTGTGTGTGTGAGTGTGTGCTTGTGTGTGTGCGTGTGTGTGCCTCACAGACATGCCAGCGCTTGATATGTGTGTTTACGAGTGTGCTTGCGCGTTCACTTCACAGAGTACTACCATGGAATGCTTTTGCATGGACGAAAAAACAAATGATATAGTAGGAAACGACACTGATGATGGAAGAAATAGTGGTGATGCTGCTTATAATGGTGACATTGGAAATGATGTATTTACAAATAATAATTGTATTATCTCTCTCTCTCTCTCTCTCTCTCTAAGAAAAAAAAAAATCCGCGCTTGCTCTCAGTTAACCTTCCTCTCCTTCCCGCCTTAACTCACGCAAAACAAAATGCCCAACTCACGCTCATGACTGAATTCTTGCAAGATTACGATGCCTTTCATGTCGTTTGAAGACGTTTACCTTCTCAATTATGTCCGGCCAACACTGCTATCCGTCTCCGCAGGGAGTAGAGGATTCCCCCCAAGGAACTGCGCAGGCAAAGAAGGAGGTGGAATCTGTTGCGCCTTCCCGTATGCAAATTAGACCGGTCTGTGTTCTCTCTCCATCAAGGACTTTGCAGTCTGTCTTTGTCCCATAAGAGCTTTCTTCAATATTGTGTAAGAATAAGGGCCAATGATTACTTGGAACAGTAAGCCAAAAGAATTGCTACGTTTTCTTAGAAAAATAGAGGATGGAAACATGCAGCGTCCGTCGGAGGGGACAACTTCTGTATTTTTTGTTTCGAGATTGCAACTGGTGAAGAAATTCTTTCATTTCTTTATCTTTCCTGTGCGGGTGATAACGTGAAGGGAAAAGTGGGTAGAATAGTAATCATAATATTGATGGTGATGATGATGATGATAATGATAATATAAGCGATAGAATAATAATGATAATAATAATAATGAAAATGATAATGCTAATAATAATAGTAAACAATATCAAAATAATAATAATGATAACAATAATAATAATAATAATGATTGATGTTATTGATAATGATGATAATGATGATGATATGATAGAGATGATGATGATGATGATGATGATGAAGAGTTTAAAACCTTATATCCCATCTTGGAACTAAACTTCTTTTGTTAATATGTTAAATCTTCTTGTCTTTAATAATTTCATAGATCTTCCTTACGTGTTTACCATCACTAGACACTTTTCTAAATGCTTGCTCCTGCCTTCTTTGGATTCCCTTTTATGCTCAGCTAGTACCACAGGGCACCCCGGGACCTCTCATACCACATCTAATTTTATTTGAAACCATTAGAAATAGTTGTTCGACCTGGTACCCTAGCCGTGAGATTAGCAGCTAATATGAAAGCAGGTTATCTTTTACAAACACTTTTAGGAAGAACTGGTCCTTCTCCATTATCATATGCTATACTTGTTAGATAAAGTCTATTATTAATTCTTGAAGCTGACGTACCAGTGATTCAGTCTTATATATTTGCTGTACTAAAAACCCTTTATGCTAGTGAAGTTGCATAAATCTAACTAATATCACCTCACGGACACCACGCTTTAGTAGACGTAAGACATAAGGGTAGTTAAATTATTCCCTCAATTCAGCCCAGAATTTTTATTAGTCTTAGGAATTATTGCAACCACTCTCACTACTCCTACACATCTATCACATATATTTGACCTGAAAATGATATATTTTAGACCGTACCTATTATATAATGCTTTGACCATGGTACTACAGCTCCTTAAGTTAGCCAGCTGATGAGATATTACACGAGAAGGTACCTACTTCATTAAAGAGCTGTTGCCATCAAGTTTCCAAGACGTATGATCTTATTTATTACATCAGGAGTCCTGTTCTTTTTTCTTTTTTTAATTGTCAACATTATCATCATTATTTTTTTTATCTATTCATTATTATTATTATTATTATTATTATTATATTATATTTTGAGCATTTTTCTCATAGAAGCCTTGCTCCTAACGTACTAGGAAGCGGGTATTCAGACTTTTAATTCTTTCTAAATTCCTCTTAACACTATTTGACTTGCCTCGGGTGCCACTGTACGGCATAAAAGTATATTTATCTTCCAACTAGAGGAGCTTGAACTTTTAAAGTAAAGAGAATGATTATTTTATTGGTTTCCATTTCAATTACTTTGAATATTTCTTTTGAGAAAAAAAATCGAGAAGAAAAATTCGCCATTTGTATGTGGAGTTGAAAACACGGGCTTTGATCGGCTTTCCTTTTCACGTCGGTTTTTCTAATTGGTCGTTTATTCTCTCTTTTTTCTTTCTTTCTTTCTTTTTTCTTTTTTGACGTTGAAATCACACTTGTATTCCAGCTTGAGCCTTTACAGGCTTCGTTTTCATTCGCATCCTTTTTACAGGATTATATCACGAAAAATATCAAGGGGCTTTAGAATTAACTGATTGGGTTTATTATAAAAATGCTACTTGATTTGCACTCCGAACCCGAATGCGAAGTATTGCTCTCGGTTTCGGCCTGGCCCTTGGTGTTAAATCACCGTTATTTGACTCTGGCTAAAGCCATATCAGAGGCCTATTACTGTTAATGATAGAAATGATGTTACTTGCAACCATAGAAACAGCTGGCTCAAGAAGAAGTGGATAAATTCTGTTTATGTTCCTGTTATATAGTTTATAGTATAATAAACATAACATTTTCATTGTAAAGCTAAAGGTAAACAATCCTTTTAAAAACAGTGTACTATAGATTGAATAGATAGCAATTACCTCCTTTGCAGTTTCAATGCAATGCTTTACTATTTGGGCTATGTAAGTAAATTACAATAAATATTAATACAATTACCCAAAGTAAAAAATAAATCATATTCTTTTATACTCTTACCGTGGAACACCAAAGTAAAAAAAAAAAAAAAAAATACTATTACCTTGGAACACCTGTAAAATTTTGGGAACTCACAGTAACAAAAGAATAAATCCCTTGTACAACATAACAATCAGATCTCTCTAATTCCCGATTCTCTGATAAGTTTCCCCTCCTCATGTTCATGATAGTGTGTTGCACAGGCTGTTGTACCAGTGTGAGCGTTTTCCTCCTGATGAATCCCCCCTGAACACCACCAGGCCGTTCCAGCAGGTCGTTCTCGGGCCTCTGGTGATGCAGTGACATGTCCTTCGTGAGCTCCTGGTGAAGCACAGAGCCAAGAACCACGGGAGTATAATCCTGATGACATGTTAATAGAGAGGGGATATTATATCACCTTTTTATAAAGCTGTAAATTAGATTTGATTTGAAAATTATATTTCGGATAATTGGTGATATTTCAGGCCTGTATTATATGTTGTAGAGCCCTGTTATAAAAGACAATAAAGGGAAACGATAGATGATTACATTATAAAGAAATATTTCATATATAGTTTTTTTATCTAAACTGTAAAAGAAATGAAAAGAAAAAAGAAAAGAAACTTAACTGCCGATCTTTCAAAACTACACATTTACGCATAAAGGCTATTGTACACGCCAAATTAATCTTAAATAAACGTATTATGGCTCATTTTATAGAAAAATAAGAGATCTAGTGCATGGCACAAGCATTTTTTGTATTTTTTCCCCTGAACTTCTTTTAAGTGACATTAAAATAAAAAAGAGAGAAAAAAAAACACATCAACTACCGATATTTCAAAATACTACACATTTTTGCATAAAGGCTGTTAGTCCAAAATAAACATATGGCTCATTTCGTAGATGCATAATAGACCTAGTGCATGATCCCTTCTTGTGTGACAAAAAATACACCCTATTTTTTGTTTTCTAAAGTACAGATATAATATTCACGCACAAATAAAAATAATAATGATTCGAAATACAACAACGTGTTCGGGTTATGCCCTAGACAAATTTTTCTGCTCAAAAATCAGTGGGACCCTAAAACAACATAATTAGGTTGAGACATTGTTATGTGCTTGGAATTTCCACAATATTTTGGAATGGAATGCATGTAGATGATACATAGATGATATTCCTATTATTCATACCAAAATATAATGATGAAAGGGGAAAAAATCACAACTGCCGTTATCTCGAGACTACCCAATTACCTTATAAAAACTAGCAAACGCAAATATAGTCCAAAATAAATGTATTATGACTCATCTTGCAGATAATAGATCAAGTACATGACCATTTTTTCCTTTTTTCCCCTTTGCTTCTTGTAAAAGTGACATAATAAGTCCTCGTTTTGGTTTTCTAAAAGTCGCTTTGGTCAAATATTCACACAAAAAAGTTGAAATCGAAAAAAAGTGCTGTAGCCATGCACAAGATAAAGAATAATTCGGTCTGAAAATCAGATCAGATTGTTTGTGTAATTGTTTTCTAGATTTCAGGGAAGTTCGAAAAGGGTAAATCCCCCTCCCCCAAAGAAAAAAAATCGTTTTAATATAACTAAGTCTTTTCTTTAAAAAGTATCTGAGATCTCGTTAGGGTATACATAAAAGGGCATAATCTTCTTATAAATCTGTAAAAAGAAATTAATAAAAATGATCAAAATAATAAAACTCGAGAAGTCGAAAAAAGAGCAGACAGTCCCAATCAATTGCTACCCGAGATGAGAAATGAAAACCAATAAATATCTAGCCCTTCCACGACTCATATACGAGAGTTCACTGCCCTGTATCAGGCTACTGTACATTTCCAAGGTACTTTTTGTTCAATAAGAATATGTTGAAGTTACAGTGTCTAGACATAGAATACTGAATAACTATGAAGAAATGGGATAATTATTTACTTATACTCCCTGGCCAAAGCAATCATGTCTAAGACTCCACCAGATGAAACTGAAAATTCACGTCTTCTTCCATCCATTTTGCCTCCTAAGTCTTCAAGGGCTGCAAGTAAGGCTTCTCTGTTATCCAGGAACTTCTCTATTTCCAACCTTCTCAGAATTGCTCGCAGGGTTGTTCACATATTTATTGAAACATGATTACTGAAATGACATATAATTCTTGGTAAAGGTATCTTTGACACATCACTCCATGATTTTAGTGTGCATTCCGGATCTTTTCTACGGTAAAAAATGTTGAACGTTAATACTCCAATGTCCAAGAATTAATTTGACTGAATTCATTGAGATATTAAAAAAAGATACCTAATCTTTATATTTATTTCTATATAACAGAGGCAAATCATACTTCTGCCGATAATTACTTCATGTCAAATTAAAACACGTGAAGCCCTTCCTATAAAAAAGGTTATCTTATATGATACAAAAATCAAACTAAAAAGAATATCCACTGCAAATAGAAAGATATGGTCTAAAAGTCAATGTCTGAACTATTAGAGGCATTAAAAAACTAAAAAAATCCATCCTAAAAGGATAATTTAGATAAAACATACAAAGAAAACAGATAATTAACAAAAATAAACAAAAATAAAACCCTAATGATACCCTATGACAAAAATAAAACATGATTAATCCCATATGATACAAGCCAAAACATTATTAATCCTATATGATACAAAAATAAAGTTCACAAACAACAAAGGATGTCTTCTACAACAGAAAGAAAAATAAAAGAAAGAGGAAGTGCGATGGAATCCTACTCTTTTTCCTACACGGTGTATAATAACTGACAACGAACAAATTGTTGTAGCAGGTCCTTCGTAGCCTCCGGGTGTTGCAGCTCCATGTCCTTCGTGGCCTTCAGATGATGCAGCTCCATGTCCTTCGTGGCCTTCAGATGATGCCGTTCCATGTCCTTTGCGGGTCTTTTTGAGACCAGCGGAGAATTAATCCTGGTAAATTGTGAATGGAGAGGTGATATTATATTTAGCCATGCATTTTATGTTACAACATTCTGAATGTATTTAACTTATAAATGATTTTCAAAGGCTGCAAATAATGCTTCTTTGTTACCAAGGAAGTTTTCCATTTTCAAAGCTCTTAGAACTGCTCAACTTGATTATTACCTAAATTTAACTTTTCTAACATGATGAACATCAGTTTGGACTTTTACAATTTTACCTAATTTCCAATTACTTCTAGGTAAATTATCCTCTTTCACAGTCACTGTATCACTAACTTGAATATTTCTGCATGGTTTTATCCATTTATTTTTTACCTTCAGTTACTGCACGCACTTTCTCTTCCATTTGCACCAAAACTTATTTGTCAAATAGTGAGCCCTTCTTCATCGCGTCCTTATAAACATATCAACACTCATAATTTTCTAGAAAAAGTATCAGAATTCTGGATTCTTATGAGAAGATCGTGTTTGGTGTTACTGGTTCAGGAGAGGTCAGTGTGTCATATGTTAGAGGACCATTTACAACACGCTCTGCCTTAGAGATTTACCATCGAGTTGAGAACCATGTTGATCTAATAATACTGAGAGTGTAATACTGACAGTACGGATATGACTTTCCCAAACTCGGACTATATGACTAGTAGAATTACCTAAAACTAAAATTCAACCCAGTCAGAATGATTTTTTTAACATTCTCTTTTGATCTTTTGATTAAATTCCTTCGAACTAGCAAC